TAATAAACCATTTTCTAATCTAAGATCATAGAGATTTACACTTATATTTTCCTTCTAAGATGTTTACATTTTTAGCTCTTAATTTTGGGTCTTCTGTACATTTGGAGTTAATTTTTATTTATATACGGCGTTAAGTGGGGTTAGTATTATTATTTTTTGCATTTAAATGTCCAATTGTCCCAGCATCATTTATTGAAAAGACCATTCTTTCCTATCAAACTATCTGGGCATTTTATTGAAAATCACTGGACTGTAAATGTGGGAGCTTATGTGTGGAATCTGTTCTATTTTGTTGAACTATATGCCTATATCTATGCCAGTACCACACAGATTACTATAGATCTGTAGTAATTTTTGAAATCAGAAGGTGTGAGTCTTCCAATTTGGTCCTTCTTTTTTCATGATTGTTTAGCCATTCTGAGATTCTTTTATTTCCATGTGAATTTTAAGATCAGTATTTTAATTTCTGCAAAAATAGAAGCTAGCATTTGATAAGAATTTTATTGAATCCGTATATCAGTTTGGATAATTAACAATATTAAGCCTTCCAACACCTGAACAATGTCTTTCCATTTAGTTAGATATTCTGTAATTTCTTTTAAAACTTATTTGTTTGTGTAAGGTAATTAGTAATATCCTCTCTTTTATTACTGATTTTAATAATTCGAGTCTTCTCTTTTTCTTGGTCAGTCTAGCTAAAGATTTGTCAAATTTGTTGATCTTTTCAAAGACCTCACTTTGGGTTCCACTGATTGTTTTTCTATTCTCTATGTCATGATCTCTGCTGTGTTCTTCATTATTTCCTTCCTTCTGCCTGTGTTGGGTTTATTTCGACATGTGTGACCTACAGGTGTGTTGGGGCCATGAGTGTTTACGACGGGGTGAGTGGAAATCATGTTATGGATTGATAATGAATCGATCGTTTGTGACTGTTTCTTTGGACCCTGAGTCTCTTCCTTTAGAACACTAGTGCAGCCAGAACACCAAGGGGGAAGGAAAACACATGTGTGCCTGTTCTTGGCTCTGCTGGAGCTGAGATCAAGCTTTGCTTGCCCTCTTTCATAGCCCTTCCTTTCTTGTTCTTGTAAATGGTCTTCCTCTTGGGTATCCTATGCCTGTCTGCTTTGTCTAAGAGTGAGGTTTCTTGTGCTTTCCCACTCGCAAGCTCTGTTACTTCACAAGAGTGAGAGCTGGCAAGAGTCCTTTTGACAGCCTTGCCAGTGCTCACTGAGCCACTCCTCCTGACCAGAGCAGTGGGCCCTGCTTGGCCAGCCAACTCCATGGTGCCGATCACCAGAGAAGGCGGCACAGTCCGCTAGCAGCTCCACCTCGAGGGGCACCCAACCGAGAAATTACCTATTTTCAGGTTTCCAACATCTCAAAAACAATCAAGAGCTTGTTTTCTATTATTAAGAAATTACAGAAAGAATAAACAGCTGACGGGCTTTTGATATCTGGCTCTTTCTAAGATCAGGAAGGCTTTCAAAGCAAAGCATAAGGGTGGGGGGCTGGGTAGCCAGAAGGTGGGCCCTCTGCTGGTGACCACAGATGGTGCTTTGTCACCACACACCAGGATGTCTCTGCAGCTATCTCATGCCTGCACACCAGCCCAGCTCAGCAGGACTGTTGTGTTTCTTCCTAGTGGAGCAGGAAGTGGAGGTGCCAGCACGTGCCCATGTCCAGGGAAAGAAAAAAATGGAAACGAGATTTTACAGCTGCAAGCTCTTACTCTGTGAGACGTAACTATTTTTTAAGGGTCAGGTTGAATATCAAAATCTATAAATGTTAAAATAAATACAAATATTGTATTTCTGGTACTTTAGATTCTGGATTAGTTGATTGTTTTTGTTACTTGGTATGTTTCGAAGTCCTTTCCAGGACTTAAGAATGGCCAGTGCAGCAAATATTGTATTTTCTCCCGTTATTTACCTTTAACATTCCTAAACATTTGTGAAATTTGTTTGGCGTAGAATAGGCCTAGGCAGATGCACCAAATGTGAATATACCTTTTCAAGTAAAATGAGCTTTGGCTTCCTGTGCTCCGAGCAGCCGGTGAGAGCGCCACACCCCCATCCCCAGGCTGTGCAGCTGAGCTGTAATCTTGCTAAAGCTGTTAGGGTGCTAATGAAGTGATGCCCGCAGCGGGGAGGAGGGTGTGATGGAGGCTAACACCGTTTTTTATCCTAGCTTGTGCATTTTGCATGCCAGATGGTAGGGTATTGATTTTTCTTTTTCTCCCGAGATGTCTTCATGTAACTGCTATCAGGAGCCAAGCTTTGTTTTGAGTTAGAGAAAAGAGCGTTTCTCAAATTGGTTTTTAAGAGGAATGAAAGTGACATCCACACGGTAGCTGGATGTGTTCTATCTAGGTGGCTGCTGTCCTGCATCTGGCAGCTCTTCTTTAAGACATACGACTGAGAAGAAGTCCCTTCCTGTTAGATATTTAGCAATGCCATCCAGGTTGCTGGTCGTAAAAACCTGTTATGTCTGAGGCTACAAAAGGGGAGTGTACATACCCTACCATCTGAACCTTCTTCCTGATCAACAACTGAATATATAAAAATGCATTTCATTAATGTGTACCATTTGCACAGAGAGGGAGCATGGGCCTCCCCTCATCCCTCCTGAGCAAGTTGTTGCCCCCACCTCCGGCTGCCTGTCTCAGACCTGCTGCCCTTTGGGGGCCCTCTCTCCCCCGACATATAATGGGTGAGTCCCTGTCCTTAAGACTTCAACCTGAGGGACCACTTTCTCCCAGAGGTCCCAACTACCCGAGGGGTCGACTGCCACCCTGCGTTTCTTTGTTGTTATATCTAGTTTATTTCCTCCCTTACATTACCGTACACAGTAATCACCTATTACCTATTTACTGTCACACTGTTTGTTGCTGTGCCAGCCAAGCAGACCTGAGCTTCACGGGCATGAGCTTCAGACTTGAGCTTCTGTCCCCTCACGGCTCCACCTCGGTTCCTGGAAATGTGCCACGAGTGTGAGAGCTCAACAAGTACTTGTTTAGCGATGAGTTAATGGATGAATAAATATTTGTTTAATGGTGAGTTAATAAAGGGAGGAAGATAACAAAAGACCAAGTCAGTAATTTGGGAGAGAAACACAAGCATATTCCAGAAAGTAGAATAAAAAGAAAAAGAGTTGAAAAATACTAGAGAGAGCTAATGGAAATAATGGAGCAATCCATGAGCCCCAACCTTATGGAACAGGTGTTCCAGAAGAAAATAGGAGAGAAATGGAGAGAGAAGAAATTTATAGAGAACTCCCCAGCACAGGACAGGGGTGGCGCCAGCTCTAAGAGCCGCAAGCGCCATGAAGGCGGAACAAAAGGAAACAAAACCCTTTACCCAGAAGGAAATATTCTGGTAAAATGTTGGAACCTAAAGTCTTCTCAGGAGGGCAAAGCAGCTCAGGCCACTTGACTTAATGAAGGAATGAGAGAACGTGGTTATCCTCAACTTCCCAACAGCAAAGAAAAAAAGAAGCACTCAGATATCTGAGGGAAAACGATTATGCATCCATATGTAGCTGAACTGATGTCCAAATAAGGGGCTTAGGACTTCCACTTCTGACCGCACTGAAATAGTGGGAAATGGATCCCTTCTCCTACCACAAACAACTAAAGAGCCAGACACTGCACGAGTGAACCATTTTGGACATGGGGCAGCTGGCAGCTTAGCTCTGTGACCCCCAAGTAAGGGAAACAGATGAGGTGAACCACAGCATCCAGCTTTTGTCCTGGAAGTGTGGTGGTGACACAGGGCAGGGCGATGTCTTATGCAGAGCTCAGAGGTGGGTGAGGAGACAGAGTTTGGAGTTAGGGGTCTGAGGCCATTGTGGGCATGTTCTGGAGAGGAGGGGACTTTACAACGCTCCACAAGCCAGTGTGTGTACAGGGTGACACACCATAGAGTCAGGCAGAACATGGGAGCTGTAAGACAAGGGGGCTCCCACTGCAGGGCTGGGAGTCATTCGAATCCCCACCAGTGCAGCAGAGCCCTGTTATTACTCAAAACACTCATCATGGACTCTAGGAAGGCCATGCCTGTGTCGTGGGGCCAAACTGTCCCTAGACAAAGGCTGCTGGTGCCTCCCTGGACAAAGCTTCAAACCAGAATTACCACAATCAGCCCAAAGCCAGAGCCCCGTAACTGCCAACCAGCACAGAGTCCAGCAATTCTGTTCTTTACGGATGACAACAGAATCTGGACACCAACAACATGAAATTCACAATGTCCAGCATCCCCTCAAAATCGATATTCCAGAAACAGGAGAATGTGAACTGCAACCCGGAGAAGGAACAGTTGATAGAAACAGATCCAGGAATGACAGAGCTGATAGAATTACTAACAAGGACAAAGAGCTAGTATAACTATGTTCCAGGATTTAAACAAAACCAAGAGTCCGGACAGTTGGTCCTGGACCTGCAGTGGAATCAGGCATGAGTGAAGTTTGAGACAGGCTGGGCGGTGAGGGGTGAGAAATGGTCTTTTGCTGCTGAGAGGCACATGCAGCATGGAGATTATGCACAGGCTGTAGCTGTAAGCCCCACCAAGCTGCCAGGGCCTTATTTTCCCACCTATAACATGCACTTAACAAAAGTATGACTTTATAAAATCGTTGGAGAGATCAACGTGTGAGTCGCGTAAAGCTCTCAAGCAATGCCTGGCTCCTAGGGAGTGAAGGCAGTGACGTTGCTCGTGGAAATCACCAGAAACATGTCCTCCTCAGCCGAGGCTCCTGTACCCTGAATGCAATGCAAACTTCCTCCCACCCCACAAATGTTTTCTGACGGCTAATCGGTGCATCCATTACTCTTTATTAGACAGGAGCTTCTGGGCAGTTGATGACCAACACCGTGCCACAACTCATGGCTCTTGGCCCTGAGCTGTTAAAACAGCTGCCTTCTCGGACCCCAGAGCGGCCTTGAGAGACAGGCTGTGGCCCCTTCATCTCCTGCTCCTGATCATCCCTCCCACTTCTCTCCTCAGTATCCTCGAGTGCCAAGGCCTCCCTATCGTGAATGGGCAGTGTGATCCTTACGCCACTGTGACACTAGCAGGACCATACAGGCAAGTAGCCATCGCCTGCACCTGCCCACAGCCTCCGGGCCTGGAGGGAGGGTGGTAGTCACCTGGACTGATGGTGAGGATTTCTCAGTCAGAGGAAGACAGGATGCGCTGCGTGAGGTAGAACATATAACTTTGACTTCCTTTTGTTTCCTTTATTGCTCTAAAATTGTTTCGTAAAAAAAAGAAAGCCTTTATGTTCTTCATGTTGGGTATTTTTGGCTCAGTAAAGGTTCCTGATTTGCATACCATCTGGGGTTGGAGACAAACAGAAATATTTATAAGATAAATAAAGGCAGTAAATTACTTGTGCATTTGATAGCTCAGTCTCAAGGCTGAGAGATTTGGCATCAAAAGTGTTATTTTTAATTTTGATTCTTCCTCCCTCGATTACAGATCGGAAGCAAAGAAGACGAAAGTGAAAAAGAAGACCAACAACCCTCAGTTTGACGAAGTGTTTTATTTTGAGGTTGGTATTTCAGTGGCATGAATGTTAAGCTGAAACCCTACACCCAAGATTCTTTGGCAAAAGTCTAGATCTGAAGGATCTTAGTCACTTGTTTCCTTCTGAAAGCTCTTGAGCGATTCCCCACACCCAAGAGTCCCCTCCCGCCCTGAGTAGAACTTTCCTCTCCTCCCTAGAAAGAAAGGTCGTCTGTTGCTTCCAGAATGACTCAGTTTTGAGTCGAATACTGACAAATTCATACTTTCCAAATTATCGGGACTTGGTTTTTTGTTTGTTTGTTTGGTTTGGGGTTTTTTGTGTTGTTTTTTGGTTTTTTTGTTTGTTTGTTTGTTTTACCCATTCTAGTCAATCTTCTCAGAGCAGTGGAGGGAGGTTTGTTTCACTAGAAATAGTGAGGGTTTTGAAGCAAAAGAGGAAGTGCATTCGGACACAGAGATCCCCTTGGCTGCCTCTCAGAATGCGAACCAAAATTAGTAAGATGGAAGGCATGAGGGATTGAAGACCAGAACAAAACAACAAGCCAACACGGCTGGTTTAGTTTTAAGACAGCGCATATGGACTATATTTAGGCAGGTGTTCTTTCTGTCCGCAAAGGTTTCTGGAATGCTTAACACGTACCACATCATGGGTAGGTAAGGATGACTAAGGCCTCCACTCCTGTCTTCATGAACCCACTACTTAACAGAAGAGAGCACATTTGAATGTATTATTCCACTTAGTCTAGTGATTGTTAGTTAGGTCAGTGGGTTCGGGGAACAGAAAGCAAAGGCAGCCACCAGTCCTGCCTGGGAAGTGGGGCAAGGCTTCCCAGCATGGTGACATCTGAGCAGAGTCTGGGAAGGGAGCATGTACGTGTGTGGAGCATTGGGAGGCCGCAGGAAACTGTATCTAGAATGTAGAGTGAGGTTGGGGTGAAAATGGAGACTTTTGGAAAATGAAGTTGGAGAATTGAGTTAGAACCAAGAGGCTCACGGGCAGAGAACCTGGACCTTTTCCTGCTGGTGTCCAGAAGCTCACACGTTTCCTAAGTGGACGGGGCTGCCAGCCAACTTGGTTGGTGCAGCTGTGAGGAGAGGTGTCCAGGGGGGATCCTGAGCCCTTCTCTGTCCCAGATGGGCGTTCTTGCTTTATAGTCAGGCAAAGAAAATGGTTTTTAAGAGACTCAAGATAAGGCAGGAAGCTGATGTGGTCCCCCCAACCTCAGGGGGACTCATGCTGGGTCTCCAAAGGCAAGGAAGAAGTCTGGAACAGCAAGCGTAAGGAAGTTTTTAATATGAACTGTGCATCAAAGGTGGCAACAACCTTCCATGCCTAGGCTGCCTGGAATGGCTTAGATCAGCGCTTTCCAAACTTGTGTTTTTAGTACAACACACATCAAGGCATAAGCTTTAGTTTGCGACAGGCTTCACTTGAACAGCTACATCCGCTCCCACCCAGTTCTCACTCTCATGAGGAGTGGTGCCTGTTTTCTATCCCGTGTGCTTCTATTCCACTCTGTAAAAATGTGCGACTCAACTCACTGGATTAATTTGGTGACCCCCCCAGGTATGATCGTAGTTGGGACTGACACCTTTGGAAACCTAGGGAAGGCCTCGACCTGGGACCTCGGCGCTGCTGGTTAGGGCCCACCCGATGCCTGCCTCCCTCGGGGCCGTGGAATACACTCCTGTTTGGAGTTTATGTCCTTTGACTCAAAGGGCTCAGCCCTGCTTAGCAGCAGATCCCTTCCTGTCGTGTTCTCCTCATCTCCTTTCAGCCTCAGCTGGCGAGCAGCCTGGGGCTGAGCCCCTGGCAGGGGGCACATGCAGCTTGGCTGAGCGCGTGGGGCTGGCACGGGCCAAAAGCAGGAGGCATCTTTTTCTTCCAGGATAACAGCTAGACTTATCTAAAAACCCTTAAATATCTAAATGAGATTATTTCAATTCTGTAAGAGCCTCTTTCGTTTACTGGATAGATGTGTTAAGTGACAGGCAGGAATAGGAGGGAGAAGAAAACAGACTAGCTCCTGTGGCCATACTGCTGGAAGCCGGACACCTTATCACAGAGCTGTGAGCCGCACCAGGCGGGAGGCGCCAGGGGGCTTCCTGGAGGAGGTAGCATTTCAGAGACCCTTGTTGGCTTCCCAGCATGGGCCTGAGTAAGGAAGGGACCCAGTAGTGAGCTGGGTAGGGGATAGAGGTTGTAGAAAGACTCCCGTGTGCTAGGTGAGGAGAATGAGTGGAGGTCTCGGGAAGCCTTCAGAAGCCTTCAGAAGCTTTTGCCAAAGTGGATAAGCTTTTGCCAACTGGGCTATGGCTGGTGGGAGCCCTGCTTGGGTGAGAGATGAACAGGCTGCCAACAGGATGCAGCAGGTGGAGGCAGTGAGATGGGAAGGCTGGGAGGAGTGGAATCAAGGTACAAGGGAGTAGAGGTCAAGAGGGGAAGGCGACTGGAGCTCTGGGACTGAGTGGCCCAGAGCGCTTGTGGGTGCTGGGAGGACTACATGGAGGTTAGCAGAAAGTGCCTGGTGCAGCCTCACGCCCCTGGCTCCCAGGAGGTCGGGCTGGAATCCAGCCTCTGCTTGTCCACAGGGCACATGGCCTCCTCTCCAGAGCCTGGGGGCCGTCCCCACGGAGCAGGCACTCAGTCTAACTCACTCTCCCTCTGTCTGCACTACCAGGTGACCAGACCCTGCAGCTACAGCCGAAAGTCCCATTTTGACTTTGAGGAGGAGGACGTGGACAAACTTGAAATCCGGTGAGCGAAAATCTGTGTTTCAGGGTTTCTTCTTGGCAGCTGCAGTCTGAGCTCACCTCTCTTGTTCATTTTTTTGTTTGTTTGTTTTGTTTCTAAAAATAGAGGAATGGCTAGGAAGGAATTTCAGTGTTCTTGGTACTTTTAACACGAGGATATCAGAAGTTGAAGTGAGTCATAATCATCCCAGATATTTGGCTGGTCGTGGCTGAAAGGACGTTTACTTGCCCAAGGGGCAAACTCAATTTTATAGTTCATTTTGCAATATCTTCTAAGAATCGAAGGTCAAAGGCTTTATGCTACTCAGTGTGTGTGAGGCTCTGTCCACCAAGTGCCATCGCCCAGCCTAGCACACTTGTCCCGGCTGCTTAGAGATCCTTGTGATACTGCCTTCAGTGCGCAGAGTCTGTACTTATCATCCTCAAAGATCGTAGCATCAAGTTCACCAGCACTGGTCTTAGGATCCACTCAGGGCCTTCTTCCGGTCAGCTACGTTGGTAGGAAGCCCCGCCAGCCTATAGCACCTCCCTTGGGTGTGAGGTACCCTGGGAGAGACAAATCATAAGCCAGGGCAAACTTTCCTGTCATCCTGGGCTAGGGTGATCACATGTTGGTCTGACTAGCCTGTTCAGGAGAACCGTAGGAATGCTCCTGATTTGACATGTGTGTTTTTTTTTTTTTTAATTAATTTTTTTATGGTGACATTGGTTAATGAAATCCAATGTTTCAACTGTATACTTTAACAGTAAAGTACATATATATTTACACTGTATGTTCACCTCCCATAGTTAGATTTCTTTCTGTCTCCACATATTTGACCCCTTTAATCTCATCCACCTTCCCCCTCCCCACTCTCCCTCCCTTCTGGTAACCACTAGTCCATGTCCATGAGTCTCTGTTTTCAACATGGTTTAAAATCTACTTTCCTTAGGGCCAGAGTTTCCATGAGGTTCTGCTAGAAATACCTCAGACGCTCATTTGGGGGGCACTCTGGTGTCCCTCCCATGAACGTGTAGCGGCTTTCCAGGCCTCCAAGCATTAACCAAGCCACGGTGGCGGGGAACTCCAGGTGGGATGGGGGCTGACCATCGGGGTGCAAGGTGCAGGCCAGGACTCTTCCCTCCCCCAAGTGTGGACCCTGCGACTCTTTCCTCATCTGTCTCCCGGGTTCAAGTCCTGCGGGACCGTGGCCTCCACACACAGATCTTGGTTTGAGCCCAGTTTTAAATGTTCCCAGTTAGTTTACATTTTCCATTTCAAAATACTGAACCGGAAGCAAAGTGACCCCAAGTTGAGTGTCTGAGAAGGTCCCCACTGGAGGTTCAAAGGCCTTGTTTAAGGTTTAGCTGTACACCAGCTTCCTTCAGACACACAGCTCCCCTTTCGTGTTCAGAGAAAGAAGTGTTTATGAAAGAGTAGACTTTGAATTTAAGAGAGAAGTACTATGTTTTGTGATATTTTGTTTTTTTTTTCCTGAACATACAAACCAAAAATGTTTTCAAATGCTTCTCCTACTAAAAAGAAGAGAAGACTGCCTGGTGACTTGTTTTATATTACTAAAGTGTTGCTTGGCAGATTAAAAGTTCTTCTGCTCGTTATTCTGTAAGTGACATGCTGCGGGACAGTGCTTATCTTCACCTACCGACATGCACGTGCTCCCATTTTACACCCTTTCCTTTCTGTGCTGTCCGCTGCTCCCTCTTGGACTTGCAAAGGTGACAGAAGGGCTCGTGCAATCTCTAGAATTTTCCCTTTGACTGCCAAGTATGGTGAGAACTGATCTTATATTTCCAGCTCCTAAAGTAACCTTTGGTTAAGTTGTTTACTGTGAGTGTTTGTGATGTTTGCTTGTTAGCACTGGGAAACGTTCACCTCCATCAGTCATGCATGTACAGTCACCATGTCCCCAAATTGGAGAAAACAGTGAGAATTTCACCCAAGGAAAAAGGTTAGTGAGTGACCAGATTCTTCAGCAAGGTGGGAGTGAACTTTTTCACAAAAATAGTGGTACATTGTGCTGTGGTTGCATCTGTCAGCTAGCCAGTCTCCCCCTCTGTGTTGGGAGTGTCAGGCCCCCTTGGTCATGAGTCACACTGATACGTCCCAGGGATCATGGGTACAGGGTTCTGAGTGCAGATGGAGAAGGAGGGATTAGAGACAGTTTTTCTTTCCAGGTGTACTTTCCTGTGATGGAAGGTAGGGGGCATCCTGCTTGTTAAATTGAACAGCCGAGTCAGTCCTCTGCGGGTACCTCTCTGCGGCAGCCTCCGCAGAACTGGACTTCATTTATTCATGCCACTGAGTTGAGCCACGCAGACTGAGGTCACCCTGATGGGCTCTCCTTCTATGTCTGAGACTCTGCAGCCTTGAAGGACAATAGGTTCTGCTACATTTGGGTCTCTCCTGGGTAAAAGGAATGGACGCCGCTGGCTTCAGGTCATAACAGTTCCCTCCTGTTACAAAGACAGGAGCTCCACTCCCACCGACATCAGCACAAGGGCTTTGCTTCCACTTCCTTCCTTTCTCCGCAGCTGGGGGAAATGCATGTCTTCTTTTGAGAGTCAGGTCCTGCTTTGACCTCACATTTTAAATGTCCTCAGTCAGTGTAGATCTTCACGGAGACCGACTTGGTGGGACTGAAGCCTCCATCCTGCTTAAAAGGGAGAAAGAAAGAACCTTGGCAACAGTCCCTGCCCCTTCTTTAAAGAGATCCTTACGGCAAGTGTTGTTTTTCAGAGTTGACCTCTGGAACGCCAGTAACTTGAAATTTGGAGACGAGTTTCTGGGAGAACTCAGGATTCCCCTGAAAGTGCTGCGGCAGTCCAGCTCCTACGAAGCGTGGTAAGGTGACTGCGCGCCTGGTCTAGCGCCAGCAGGCTGGTGCATGGGAGGACAGAGTTACCAAGTTGAAAGGACATGAAACTGCCTCTTAGCAGCCACAATGAAATGGCACAAGTCAGCACCCCACCTAGCCACCTAGCCAGGTCCTAACCAGCTCTGGCATGGTGATGGGGTTTCAGGTGAGACATAGCAGGAGGATAGGTACTGGTGCAGGTGGTCACGCTGAGAGCATGAGAAGTGGTGGCTGAGAGCCTAAAATGGAGAAGGGCAGGGGCATGAACTGTGTTTTGGGTCAGATCGCTGAGGGCAGGCAGCTGGCACACTTTGGAGCATGACTGTACCAGGCTCTGCCCCATGGCAGGCATTTATGACCTTTGCCTGTTGTCAGAAGTGTCACCTGATGACAGAGGCGTGCAGGGCGCTGTGGGTTTTAAGCAAATCTCCATTTAAATCTGCACATCTAAGTCGAGGGGGTCCCAGCTCTGAGTGAGTCACCCCTCACTCACGTATCCCAGAAGACTAAGCCTTCACTACTTTCCATGTCTTTAGTTCTTGTTTTCTCTAGGGTACCTTGTATTTTGGCATAAGGAATATGCCTTTGTTTTCTTTCATGATCATAAATCACATTGTATCACAATGCACATCATCACGATGACGCTGGAGACACACATTACACATCTCCTTTAGCAGACACACAAGATGGGGAGAAGGTGCAGGTCGCACACCACACGTCTCATGTCGCACGCCCAGATCTCACACGACACTCCACACACTGCGTATAGAGCCCTGCATGTCTGCAGACTTGCTGTGTGAGTAGATTTTTGTGTTATGCTTAGTGGCAGTTTCTCGTTCCCAGGAAACTGTGGAATTTGTGTCTAATTCCACAAGGACAGCACCAGCCCAGTCCCCAGCCAGGTTCTGGTTCCTGCCAGGAGGCATTGTTTAGCTGAGCAGCCCCTGCCCTTTTAACCAAGGATGCGACATTCACCTGATAACCCAGTGGGAGCCCCCCGAGGACCCATGTGTTTGGTGCCTCTACCAGACAGACACAAGTTCTACCCACATAGCTTCTGCGACTGCCTGGCTAATAAATTCAGAGTAAGCAGGGTTCCCCCAGGGCCATACTGGGTAGGACCAAAGAAAAAAGAGTGGCCTGTTAGAAACCACCACCAAAGGGACCGGGCGCCCAGTGGTCTGCCCGGCTCACCAGGCAGGCTCGCCATCCCCTCGTGCCGAAAGCCCTACCACACATTTCTTAGAATAATTTCAGTTTTGCTCTGCTTATCGCTAGCCAGCGTCTAGTGTTAATCTTCCCAGGTGAATTATTTTCTGCAGTTTCCTGTAACATCTGCACTCGTTTCTCTTCCTTCTTGTCCTCTCCTTTCCTTCCACCCTTCCTGCTTTCCCACCTTAACTTATAAGTCTATGAGTCTATATAGTCAGCCCCGACAATAAACATCCGTGGCGAACCCCTCAGGTGTATGGACGCCGCAGAGGAGTGTCCTGCAGAATCACGCTGGAGCCCCCTCCTGCCTCATCCCCTGACACAGAATCCATGATGGGAGGACCAGCCCCTGGGAGGTGCTGCCCTCACGCTGCCTTGTCCTTGTGTCCTGTGCCCAGGTACTTCCTGCAGCCCCGAGACAACGGCAGTAAGAGCCTGAAGCCAGGGGATCTAGGGTCCCTGCGGTTGAACGTGGTTTACACAGAAGACCATGTCTTCTCTTCTGACTACTATAGCCCCCTGCGGGACCTTCTGCTGAAGTCTGCGGACGTGGAGGTACTCTTATGCCAGGTGCACCCACCCGTAGCCCAGTCCACCTGCAAACCGCTGACCCACCCCGTCCCTGCCCAGCTCCTCTTCCTCGCCTCCGCAGACCAACCCTCGTCTTCTCTGTCCCTTGGCCACCCACACACCTGCCAGACCCTCCTTCCCTGTCCACCTGGGGCCCAACACCTGGGCTGCCTTCTCCTGCTTGGTGATGTTCCCCTGCAGCCTGGCCCCTCCAGGCCTGCTTTGTGCTCAGAAACATCTGCATCTCCCTTCGCTATGGAGGTGTCATGGGGGATCAGAGGGCTGCCCTCCGATCAGGCTGTGTTCTTCTGCAGCCCGTCTCGGCATCCGCAGCCCACATCCTGGGCGAGGTCTGCAGAGAAAAGCAGGAGGCGGCCATCCCACTGGTCCGGCTCTTCCTGCACTACGGCCGGGTGGTGCCCTTCATCAGTGCCATTGCCAACGCTGAGGTCCGGAGGACGCAGTGAGTGCTGCCGCCGCCACCCCTGCCCGGGACCCCCTCACATTCCCCCGAGGGGGTCTGGCCTGGTGACGGGGTGGGGCCAGGGCTGGGGGAGGTCCGGGGGACCCAGAAAACAGAAGTCTTCCTCGGAACACATCAGAGCGCAGGGATGGGCAGCTAAAAGAAAATGTGTGGGTTCAGGTTTTCTTTCAGAGAGACACTTTTTCTTGGAAATCCCGAGGTGCGTGTGCATGACGGGGGTGAACGGGGCACCGGTTGCCCCAGCAATGGGCTCGGTTCGGTGTATGGCCCACGTAAGAGGACTGGGTCACTGCCGCCCCAGGAACTGTGCTTGCTGTACGGGGATGGGTTCTGCCGATAGTCACTCCCTGGCACCTTTGGTTCAGAAACACCCAGAATGCACCCCTGTTGAGAGAGGTCATAAAGCACAGCCTACTCTGTTCGCTTCCCTGCCAGATCTCCTGTGCTGACCCCAGGTTTTGTTCTTAGAGGTATTAATTTATTGCAAAAATAAGCCTCGCAGAGGGGCAAGGCACGAAGTGGCAGCAAAGGGGCCGTACTGTCAGCTCGCTTTCCGCTTGATGGATTGATGGCTGTGGGCGTGTCGCCGTTTTGCGGAATTTCACTGACTCTTTGTACAGGGGCTTCTTTACACAGGCAGGGCCTGGGGGGTCAGGACCCCCAGCTGCAAATCATCTGGCCTGGTCTCGTGTTTCTCCTGAGACACTTAATAGACTCAGGGCGAGTGTGTTTCTGCGTCCCATGGACAGGCGCCCAGGAACAAGGTCTGCTTCCTTTTTCACCTTGCTGTACTGAGGAGACAAAAATCACCCGATGCTGTTTTCCAGGGACCCCAACACCATTTTCCGAGGAAACTCGTTGACATCCAAGTGCATTGACGAGACGATGAAGCTGGCGGGAATGCACTACCTGCACGTCACCCTGAAGCCCACCATCGAGGAGGTGGGTCAGGGTCCCCGAGGCCCCAGCATTGCTGGGCGGTGGCTGAGGGGTTTCCCCAGGAGCCCACATATCCGCGTGAAGAACAGGCAGATGCACAGAGACTGTAGCGCACAGGGACTTACCTGAACGCAGAGCCATCACTTTAATGTCAGCCTCTCTCCCAGCTTCACCACAGTGACCTTCTGTGTGTATGTATTCCAGAACCTTCCTCATTTTTCAAATTAAAAAAAAAAAAAACAACTCTTAAGAAAATCCATCATTCCAAAGACAGAAGGACATGCAAGAGAAAAACTGGTTCTTCACAGGATACCTCTTTCTCCATGGGTGTGGGGCTCCCTGAATTCGTGAGGCCCAGAGCTATCTCCAGAGCCCCCAGCAGTCATAGAGGCTTTTCTATTGTCAGACACATTGGAAGGAATCACACACTTCCTTTCCAGATGACAGCGTTTCTTACTCGACCCCTTAATGTGATGCCTGGGCAGGCAGTGTTTCCCCTAGAACGGTTTCATAAAAAACAGGCCCTTTGCAATGTCAGAACATTTAAAATAGCATTCTGTTTTGGCCTGTGTGCAAAATCCTGGCAGCACTTTGAAGGAAAACCGTTGTTAAGCTTTATGACGCCTGATCCCGTGTAAGCTAATGCAGAACTGTCTCCAGAAAGCCCTGTTTTCACAGTACTTCATCCTCCCACACTGCCCTATGTCTTGCGCTATTCCCCACGTTCCTCCCAGCAGCTGAGCAGGGGCTCGCCGTGGGCAGCCGTTTTCTGAACAGGGCTCACAATGTCCGTCTCTGAGCCTGATGCCGCTAACCTCCACCCCACCTGTGCTCCTGGAGTTCGTCTCACTCACTCCTTGTCATAAATGCTCTTTCCAGATATGCCAGAGCCACAAGTCCTGTGAAATTGACCCTGTGAAATTAAAAGACGGTGAAAACCTTGAAAACAACATGGTAAGTAAGGGGTTCTGGTTTGTCCACCAGCGCTTTCCAGAGCCAGTCGCCTCTCTTGAGCATTTTTGGGACATGGCCACTTTGGATGCTCTGTGTCACTAAGATTCAGGCTGGGGTGGAGACCCAGCTGAGGCATGCTTTGTGAGGGTGCCCACTAGAGGCTGAGGTGGAGAGGTTGACTGTGTCAAGCGACCAGTCCTGGTTGATTATTTGCCACCATCTTTCTTTGCTCTTGAGTTCTTTCCTTCTAGCGTCACTCTGTGGCCTGCCACACTCAGCTCCTGCTCCTTCCCTCTCTCTGGCATACCAGGAGCCCCCCGTGGAGGTGGCCTCAGCAGCCTGACCAGTCTTCTCTGCCCGCCTTTCCCTTCCTCTCAGCAAACAGGTCCTAAACCTGGCCCACCCCAGGTCGTTCCCAGAGCTGTGTCCTGTTTTTTAAAACAGAACTCCTTGATTTTGACACTTCACCGTACTGGTTTAGTCCTTTTTATGATTTTTTTAAATCCAGATCATGCCAAGTCTTTGTCATGTCTTTAAAGAAAAGAGATGAGATTCTCACCTTCGAGGACTCATAGTCCAGTGAAATGACCTCTACGTTCAGTTAATGAGGTTAAGGGTGAAG